CTGTCGTCTCCGCGCTCGCCGTCGCCGGCTACGAGACTGTGCCCGTGGTGGTCACCGAGCCCGGGTGGCCGAGCGGGAGCGGCGCCGCCGGTGAGTTGGACGCGAACTTGGGGTACGCGGAGATTTACATGCGGGGGCTGGTGAAGCACCTTAAGTCGGGGATGGGGACGCCGCTGCTGAGAGAGGGCGTGCGCGAGGTTTTCGTTTATGAGATGTTTGATAGGGACGAGGGGAGTGGGAGTGGGAGTGGGAGGAGTTGGGGGCTTCTCTTTTCTAATGGAACTTCCAAGTACCATCTCGACTTCTCCTCTTCCTCTTCCTCTCTTTCGCCTCTCAACCTCCCCCTCCTCTTCGCTTTCTCGCTTTTCCTTCTGTTACTTTGATTTCCTTTTCTTTTCTTTCTCCTTTTTCTTTTGCTACTCTCTGTAACCATAACCACATCTCCATGTTTCAATATCAACACCCTACCTTTTCTTTTCTCTCTTCCATATTATATTACAATTTAACTCATTTTAATTCATATTTTAACTCTAACTATACTTATCCTCGAATCAATGCAATTCTATTTATTTCACCATAATTTATCTCTCAAACTTAAACTTGATTCAATGTTTTGTGTGGCGCAGCAGTTACCACTCGCAAAATGAAATCAGATAATTATTTTAGTGAGACAAGAGCAAGCCATAATAAATCCAATGCAGCGGAAAAGTGATATTTTTGCCCTGGTCCAATTAAGGATTTTGGGCCGTATGTGGGTCCATAAATAATAAAATGGGCCTCTTTTTTTTTGACCCAACACAAAGTTGCCCATGATCTGTCTCTGAAGCGGTTAGGACGCATCCACTTCACGCTTGTTTCAACTGCGTCAGGTTTTAACACTTTGCTTGCTGTTTCCCTAAATATTATTACCATTCCAAAGTTAGTAGTAATTAAGCATCTTTATGTCCCTGGCAACCTTTTTTACATTCAGTTTTTTTAAATCTTAATCCTATTTCAATAAAACCAGTGTCTTAACAATACTGTTCAAATTCAAAAAAAAAAAAAAATCATTAATATTTACGATTTTTATTTAAAAAGCAATCCTTGTCGAAGGGGGTGAATTGGTATAAGCCCCTCCAAGATTAAAGGAGGTGTGGACAAGATCCAAGAAAAGAATAAAACTAACGTGCCCGCATGTGCTTGTCCTGAGAGTCAAATTCTTTGTAATTTGTATGGCCCAGCGAGGAAGATATTAACTAAACCATATAATGCAATGTTTGATTAGTAAAATTCTATTTACCACTGGTCCTTGGCAGACAATGATATGTAATTACACATCCCCCTAATATGAACAATGCAAGATGCAACTAGTTGAACAAAAAAAAATCAATTATCCTGTGGTGTATAATGAAATTAATATCCAGCACCTATGTTCTCCTTTGCTTGCTCAAACACGTCAAATATAGGGTCCGGAAGCCAAAAAAATCTTATTTCTCTATCTACAACTGCCAAAGCATCCATTTGACTGCTGATCATACTTTTTAGGCGGTAGCCCTTCGTCTGTATCACATTCCTTTGCCTAGAAAAATTCTCATTCCCTTTAGTGGAATCTTCATCTTCTAAACTGCAAAAGCACAAATCATAAGATGGCAGCTCTTACGTATGTTGTTAGTATAGCTAAAGCCTAGTCTTTTTTGCCTAATGTTGTTTTGGTGGGGAAAGGGATTCTTTGTAAATCTTAGTATAAGACAACCAATTTTAAACATGGTTATATAAAATGGAACATCCACATCTTGGTGTAAGAGTGGTAAAGAGAAAAGAAATTGGTGAGAATTAGAGTGGAGAGAAATAAATAAGAAAAAAATAGGTGAGGGAAAATAAGAAATAGAGAAAAAATTTAATTGTTTAGTTGAAGAGAAATATGTGAGAAATAAAATATATATAAAAAGGAAGTGGGATCCACCACCTTTTAATTTCTCACCTCCTTATTTCTTATCAACCAAACCTCTTAACTTATTTCCATTCACTCCTTTCTATTTTTCACCCTCAACCAAACCAAAAGATGCCTATGTTAAGCACTGAAATCAATTTGAGAAATCATAAGACATAAAAGTGGGAGACGGCTAGATTCTTTCAAAGTGAGGTTTATATATCTATCATAAAGTCTAAACAAACAAAATTTGAGATCTTCCCTTAATCATTCTTCAGGCTATGTTAAAGGGAGATAATCACCGTACCTCATCACCAAGGAAGACCAATTTCTAAATCCAGCAGAGACAAGACGGTTGATGGTGACATTTTGGTGTGTTCCATGCTCTCTTGATAACAAAATTATAGACCATCCACCAGCTTGAAGGTTCGTGTATATTCTTAAAAGAAGCATGCGCTTTAACTTCTTTGCCTCTAGGACACAATTGTTATTGCTGCTGTTATCAGAAAACCCACACCAAAAGAAAACCATGTCAAGTTACCACTAAAAATATATGCAGATCTGCATCAAGTTTGATAACCTACTTTAAAGACACATAACAACAGCCACCGGAGATTGTATACATTAGCATAAAATATGATTCGATAAACTGATGGAAGTAGTAGAGACAAGTCATTTATACAAAAATCTTCTCCATGATCTGAACATTATCCATATTTATACTATCTATAATTGGGGAACATAAATGGCAAGAGGATTTACTAACACAATAAATGACAAAGATCATCAAGATTGAGATTACTTATCACTTGAAGAATTTCCCTACTAAAATATTTCGTCAACTTGGGGGAATGTATTATGTTATGTCAAAAAAAGTGTATATATATATATATATATTTTACAGATACCCAAAACTGAACCAATAGCTATAAGATTCTTCCTCATTCAGGGAAATTATGTCCTCAAAAAAACACTCCGGGAATAAGATGGATGGTGATAAGATTACCTTTGAAACAAATTGGAAGAATGAGGATTTGGTGAAAAGATGCCATCTATGTCTAACAACACCACATCAAGACCATCATCTGATGGTCTAACACTGTTGAAGTAATCCTCAATCACAGACTTGGTTGAATCCAAGTCTCTAGCATATTGACCTCCCTTGATATACTGTATGGCCAGGTCCTTGCAGTGGTTAGGAAAATTATGCCCTTCCAAGTTATTGAGCTTAGCATGAAGAGAATAAACCTTGCAATAACTGTACTCATCATGTATATTCTGAACCTCAATAACTCCAGCATGGCTACTTTGACAAGATTGCAGCATCATTGCCAGTGAAATCAATAAAGTAATTAATAAAAGCCCAAGAGCAGCTAATGCAGCAACAAAGATGGTTGCAGCAAAGGATGTGATGTAGAATCCTGATTCCAGCGCAAAACTGCTCCTCCTCAACTCTGTAACCAGGAAAGAAACAGGATAAATAGTCATCCAAATTATGCTAAAATAATAATTTCAGCTGAAAGATAAGATAGCAGAGAACAAGCGCTGTATTATCTCATTAAAATAGAGTAATTCTAAATTCTCCTACAATATCCTTGTGCAAAACCTTTTACTAGATGAAGAAGTATTGAATACTTTTTAGGTTTCCAATACATTAAATAGATTCATGGGCAGGATCTAGTATACATGATAGTATTTCTTATTCATTTAGAGTCCAAGAGTGACAAAGCTGGCATTACATACCAGAACCACCTGAGAGACTCTGTGCTGAATACATCTGCTCCATTTGATGGCCATAAGCAGACATAACTTCAAGCTGTATCTAATCTCTATACAAAAATCCAATTAAAGCAACACCAACAGCTTGCTTCCAGAACCAGAAATCAAAGGGCTATCCTGAAATTTTAGAGAAATTTGCTCATCACTCGTAAATCATATATTAGTTTCAACTAGTGACAAAGGAGCAAAACTCATGCGATTTGATTGCTGTGCATTCTACTTTTGACAAAATTGGAACTTAAAAGCAAATACAGTGAACACCTTTTCTTTTATCTTTCTTTCTTTCTAGCCCTTCCCCAGTTTTATGACAATGAAACATTTCGACAGAAAGATATGAAGAGACACACTCATCGGCCCAAATAACTGTTCAACAATTCCCTTTTCTTTTTCCATCAGAAATTGAGCCACCACTGAATCACCTGGTCCTATTACAAAATATAAATGAGCCTAAACATTACAGAACTGTGTAGATAAAACACTCAACTGGCACACGATCTGGGGTGTTCCATAAGTTCCTAACCACTTTGGCTCATTAGCACACAGCACACAGCAAACCACTCAAATTAGTTCAAAACAAAGGTGAAAAGGAAAAGAGTAAAGACTGACCCAAACAATGCTGTTTCTGTTTGTTATATCCCTGTTTGGCTTCAAAAATAAAATCCTGTAACTTGTGAGAGATTTCCAAAATGTTTGAAAAGTTGTATTCTTTAATGAATAAAGAAATTCTCTTTCGCAAAAGAATGAGACATGACTCTAAGACTCTTCCCTAATAGTTATAAGATGCATTATTGTTGCGTATTTATGACCAACAATTTTTACTTTCAAATACCAGTAAAAAAATATTGTTCCAACATAATTTCAAGTAAACAGCAGTGAAGTCACTTTAATCATACTAACCTTTCCTTTTTCCTTTGTTAGGGATAAAAAAAGCTACGAATTGGTTGTTTGATCAATTACGTGTTTATATAATCATACAAGGTCAATAGCCAATCAAATTGTAACAACCCACTTCATATTGTTTCGTCAAGTTTGTTTTCCTACTATTTATCATTTTCCAGAAGATAAGTATACCCAACTGGAGTCATTAATTTTGTCTAGCTACAATAACGTAACAAAAACGTACTCATTAATTTAATCTTTAAAAATGATAACAACCAAGCACGATAAATAAAAAGTACGAAAATATTGGTTTATAACATTAGATAATTACCTATAAGATGTTTGGACAGCCAAAAATCTTTGGTCTTGTTAATGTGTGTCACTGTCACAGTGTCACAGGTTACATTCAATATATCGCTATTCCCACGAGCTCTGTTCAAAGAATTAGGCATGCCAGAGAGTGATGAGGCACGTTTGGTTTTGAGTGGGGTAAAGGTAGTAGTGGCAAGATTCTAGATTCGAATCCCATGTAAATATAAATAATGCACAAAACAAAATAGTCACTTGGAGCAATCATAAACGTTGCTACCTGTCAGACGATGCTTACTACTATTTTTTTTTTCACGCATTAAAATTATCAATTAATGTTCCACTTTTATCTATTCACATTAGTTATCAATCCCATTAAAATATTAACAAGTGTCTCTTCTTTATAATATTCGATAAAATCACGTAATATATTGGATGAAACTAATATATAATAACATCCAATAAATTAAAATTATAAAAAGAAATCGGAAAACATGCGAAACATTTTTTAACCAAATATTAGTGGAATATTGCAAGATGCAGAAAAATGCACACATTTGGATCAGATTTAGTCACATGTACCTTTTCTTACTTTATCAAGAAAAATGAAAATCTAGAACAAATTTCACCATTATTTATATAAAATTGAGAAATGCTAAAGACACATTCACATACTCTTTTTGAATACACACTCTCTTATTAATTAAAATTTATTAGAAATTACAAAGCTTTTCAAGTCTAATGTCTTATTTTATAAATATCTATTTTGATTTTATAATTTTCAATAAATTTTAAATTATAAAAGAGTATATGTTGGAAGGAATGTGTTGAAGAACGTTCATAGCACTAGGGTACTAGGGTTGGTTTTTTCAAATGCATGTAAAATACTTGAGATATTTGCAAAAGTGATTTCGAAAATTGTTAATTTGGAATCCATTGCGTGATAACACAGAAAGATATGGGGCAAAACTGAATTAAAGGTTTAAATTTGACGCGTACTTTATGCTTCATCAGACCTATTTTATTGTTCAGGTCTGGCACTTCAAATTCGTACGGTACAGTTTTTCTATGTTACAAAATCCTTGACACCATTCTATATCAAAATCGTTGTTTGTAATCAGGGATTATCATGTCCTTTTTCTTTTTTCCCAAATGGAACATCTTATTTAAAAGTTCATATATCAACTAACGACCATTTTGGTCAAATGATGGTGAGGATGCAAAATTGGCTTGACAATAGTCTCATTAACAATCTCGAGAAAACTGTTTCAAGCACTTGTTGTCTAGACATTCATTCCATTCACAATATTCACGGCATTGTCCACTGTTCTGGCCAATTCAACAGCTGCTCCGACATAAGTATCAGGTGTTAACTTCAACAGATTCATCTTTGCTTCTTCTGGAATATCTAAGCCTTCAATGAAGTCTCTTATGCTCTCTTTGTTAACTGTTCTCCCTCTGGTTAGTTCTTTTAACTTCTCATAAGGCTCGGGAACTCCATATCTTCGCATAACCTGAATAGAATTTGCAAATGATTATAGCAGAAGTTTAAGGGGATGACAACAAGCAACATCAAAAGAAATACAAATGAATTCAGCACACAAATGTAGACATTTCATTCATAAATGTCAGTAACTTTACAAATTCAAAAATTTTCAGACAGAAAAGAGTTTCAACATGGGGCAAGCAATATAATCATCGACTCAACAATGCTCAACTTTCTACAGTTAACATTTGGAATTTCAGAAGTATATAATAAAAACCTAAAACCATAAGGGCGAAGCAATTAAGTAAGTTGAGCAAGTATTGTCCTACTGCCGTGTTACAAATTATTCTTAACATTCACCCTGCCCCTCATTTCCTTTTTCTTAATCCCCTTTTTCTTTTCTTTAAGAATAATGCTTCTACTGAATAAGAATGTATGCCCTCCGCTTAACTGAACCTAAAACAACAGACTCCCGTTTATAACTAACTCAGCATCCTTATGGATATAATACTGATAACAGACTTTCCACACTCAAAACAAGAAAAAATATTGACTCCAGATTCAAACATGATTATGTAAATACTATTGAACCAGAATAGAGGCTTCAGTTCGTTTGCATGCTTCAAAAGCTAACTTTAGAAATAATCTTCTATAAGAAAATGACGATGTTAGGGCTGGGGGGGAAGGGGGAGTTTGTTAGGATAGTTAGAATATAAGTTAGTTAGAGTGAATTAGTGACATAAATATATAGCATTGAAGGGGAGGGAATTCATTCAGAATTGTTATCATTTGTAAATTGAGTATTAGTTCTTTGTGAAGGGGAAACCCTTGGAAGAGAGTTCTCTCTCTTTTGTTCTGTTCTTTTGTGATCAATCAAGAAATACAATCTTTCATTTCTTTTCTTTATTTTATCTTCTGAATTCCTAACAAATTGGACTGATCTAATGAATCCAAATTTTTGGGAGAAGAAACTGCCAGATCTGTTGATGAGGGGAAGAAATGGAGACATCTAGTGTTCTTGAAAGAGAGGACTGATTATTTAAGCATAAGCAAAAGTTGCAGCTGTTGGTGAAGAACCAAGAAACCAAACCAGAACTAAATGGGTCATTGACGGTGTTTATGAAGGAGGCAGCAAATTCTTGTGGGTTGCAGCATCATTCTTGCTAGGCCAGCATTTCAGAGTTCAAGCAGACTGCACAAGCTACTGAAGAGTCAAGAAATCATTCTTGAGGAGAAAAACATGAAAAAATAAGGAAAGGGGGGAGGGGCAGCCCTCTGAAATCAAGAAGGTTGAACTTGAAGGAATAGAAGAGATCAAGCGGTGGCTTGAAAAGTGGATACAACAAGAAGGCATGTTGGAGGATGTTATAATTCAGGAATTGTGTGTTAGTTGTTGTACACACCAATCTTATTTATAGAGAGAATACAATAAATGATAAAGATACTAATCTCTAATATTGTGAAAATTAATCTAATCATATCCCTAATTGATAGTGAGGATAATAATCATAATATCTATATCAACAATATCTGTAATATATCCTCAATATCTGTAACACTCCCCCTCAAGCTGGAGCATATATATCATATGCACCAAGCTTGTTACAAATGTAATCAACCCGAGGCCCTTTAAGCAATTTTGTGAACACATTTGCTAACTGGTCACTAGAGCGAACGAATTCAGTGGTGATCTCTCTCATGAGAGCACTTTCTCTCTTACAAAATGACAATCTATTTCTATGTGCTTAGTCCGCTTATGGAAGTTGAACGGCAGCGACGAGCGGCGTCAGTGGTGGCGAGCAGTGGCGGCGCGGCGACCGGAGGAGGCGGTTGGAGGCAGCGACTGGATGCGGCAGTTGGCGGTGTGACGACCGGAGGCGGTGGTCGAAGGTGGCGGTCGACAGCGCAGCGACCAAATGTGGCGGTCACCGGCGCAGCGACCGGCAACAGCAACAAGGGCCTTTGCAAGAAGAGAGAAAAAATATATTCTAAAAGAAAAAAACCTAAGCTCTAGATACCATGTTGTGATTCAGGAATTGTGCATTAGTTGTTGTACACACTAATCTTATTTATAGAGAAAATACAATAAATGATAAAGATATTAATCTCTAATATTATGGAAACTAATCTAATCATATCCCTAATTGATAGTGAGGATAATAACCATAATATCTGTATCAACAATATCTGTAATATATCCCCAATATCTGTAACAGAGGACAAAGCCACAAACCAACAACCCATTCAAGAGGAGGTTGATACATATACAACCAAGCAAGTTAAGAAGATCATGGAGGCAATTAGTTTGGATCGGAATGTTGTGAAAAATGATAATACAGAGGTTAATTCTAGGACAAGAAACATGGAGTTAGCTTCCTTTGGTGGCTTCACATAGGGGAAACAAAAAAGAAACCACCCTAGTCCTATCTACGTCAGATCCAAGAACCAGAAACTGAACAATACAATGAAGTGTTGATTGAGATGATAGGAAGATCACTGGAATCCTTGAAGCTGGAGAAGAGTTTTGCTTTCTTGAAGGAAGAACCAGTCAGCCCACGGCCATTGCTGGAATCACCAAGCATAGAATCTACCATAGAGGTGGACATTACTGTCTGAGGCATTCGAGATGGAGAGCTGGTTGTTGAAGAATCCCCAGTTGAAGACCACCCAAAGTCTAATGTCAGAAACCCCCCCATGGACTCCAGTAGTGGGCCTCATACAATTCAACTGGATCTGAAACTGATTTTCACCCAACCCAACTAAAGGTGTCAAAACTACATTTAGTGAATTTGACCCAACACAGAATGCAAACAAGGGAGCACTAATGAGTGGTTGCAGTGGGATTCAGTATTTCAGTTGACTGCCAATCCCAGTGAAAGTCTTTTGTCAAAAGATGCAAATGGGATGAAGATAGTTGTACTGCTTTCAATCTTGAGGACAGGGTTGACTTCTAGGAGGGATGGTATTGTTAGGACTGTGGGGAAGGCTGTTAGTTAGGATAGTTAGAGTGAGTTAGTGACATGAATAAATATACTAAAGGAGAGGGAATTCATTCAAATCTCTTATCATTTGAAAATTGAGCATTAGCTCTTTGTTCTGTTCTTTTGCAATCAATCAAGAAGTGCAATCCTTCTTTCCTAACAGATGACAACAAAGCCAAGACTGAAAGCTAAAGCTGGTTCTTTGATCAATTAAGATAATCTTAAAAAAAAACTGCGAAACATTTTGGATTTCCTTATCCTATTTCTTTCACAGGTTTTGGGAACATTTAATTGTTTTAGAAACAGATAGAGAGGGCCTTTCTTCTCCCAAAGCACATTAACTAGTAAACTATATTATCTTCAAAGTGTCAGGTTAAAAGAATACTGTAAACTATATTATCTTCAAAGAGTCAAGTTAAAAGAATACGTTGCTTCTTTTGTTCTACTTGAATCGCATCAAGTAAATAATGTATCACTATAAAGAACTCAACTTAAGTATATTTTAAGCATTCAATATAAAGTAAAAAATATTAAACTAAATATTCATGTAAAGCCAAAAGCCTATACTTACAGTCTGTATTGGTTCAGCAAGCACCTCCCAGCACTGGTTCAAGTCTTCACTCAAGCGAGCTTCATTAACCTAAATTTTAAATTAAAACATGACAAGAAAGCCCAATTAAAATACAACAACCTACAGTCATTTCTCTAGATTTAATAGAGAACTTGAGAAACTTGCACTATAGTTATGCAAATAGGCAGTGACAGGAACTTTGTATGTGCATCCTGATCGGATGAACAGTATGCTACAGCAAATATAACAGTTAAGATAACCAAACAAAATGTCATCTAACAATGCTATATTTCTGATTAAAAAAAAAAGATAATTATGCACGTAGTAGGAGAAAAGCAACATAAATCCATGAAGCACAGAATACCTGAAGCTTGCTTATTCCTTGAAGTGTGCTTTTGTAAGCAAGAAGAGAATGACCTATACCTACACCCATGTTCCTTAAGACAGTTGAATCAGTCAAGTCCCTCTGCATAAAATGAAAAAAACTGAATATAACAAAATTATTTCCAAGAGAAAATCACAATTAGTCTATCACTGTCACTAAATTATGCTCAAAGGTCAATAGATTACAAAAAGGTTATCAATACCAAGATTCAAATAGAGAATTGCCAAGCAAATTTTTGAATCATAATCTGTATTGAATAGTAAGATTCAAAGACAATGAAAAACAACTTCAAATCTATCATATAAATGAATAGTGTTCAATGTAATAAATTTAAACTAGAAATAGATAAAACAACTTTTAAGTCTCAACAAAATTATAAGTTACATTGGGGGTTTAGGGTTTAGGGTTTTGTAAGAATGGAAACAAAGCAATGAAACAGCCACATAGAATGTGTGCATCAAATGAGTGAATGACAAATAGATTAGTGGAATAATCAAATAGGATAATTTTCAGTAGTGCTCCTTCAATTCATTTTCATTTAACAATTTAAACTTATATGAATTTTCAATTTCTTTGTTGAGAGAATTGGTGAAAGAAAAGTGAAAAAGAAAACAGAATGAATTACTGAATATTGATTCTTGATATTTGTAATGATGATATAAAGTCACACCAATTCATTCATGTATTGTAAGATTTATAGTATGTTTGGATGAAGAATTTTAGAAATTCAAGGAATTTGAAATTATTAGAATTTAAATTACTTCGATTTCAATTTCCATCATTCTTTAAATACTTTGTTTGAATAAGTCAATTCAAATTTTTAAAATTTTAAATTCTTAATTTAGATAGGACAATTTAATTTCTTCCATAGATAAAATTAAATTCTTAAGATTAAATTTTATAAAACTTAATATTAGCCAATTTTTACAAATATTAATTTTATATAACTAATAATTCACAATATTATTATTAGATAATATTTAATAATTTAAAAATAATTCTGAATATTCAATAATTAAAAAATTATTGATATTTTTTATGTTGACTTTGAAAGAGAGGATAGGGAAGTAGGAGAAAAAAGAATTTCAAATTCTTACTTTTTTTTAGAGAATTTGAAATTCTACTACATCTTTAAGGGATTTCACAAACGTTTGAATTTTAAATTCTTTGTACGTTCTCTATCAAAACAAAGCATTTTATACCAAAGCATTCGAAATTCTTCAAAAACTTGAATTACTTCATTAAAATTCCCCATTCAAACAAACTCTTAAAGTCATTTGAAATTCATCTTATGATATGAATCGCTAGCTAGCCAAATCGCACTATGGATTACAATAGCTTGGGTAACTCTTTCCACAGCATATTATTTGGCAGAGTGTATGTGTACAGAAAATATATTAGTAAAATCCTCTTGGCATCATAGTTTAAAATAAAGACACCAAAATAAACCACAAAAAACATTTAAATCAAAATATAAGTCTTGCCTGCCAACGTGAAATCGGTAACTTCATGCTTAGATGAGACAGACCACCATTAGCTACACCTAGATTACCTTCACTGTTCTCAAAATCAATAGGATTAACTTTGTGGGGCATAGTTGACGACCCAATCTCCCCAGCCTTAGTGATCTGCACAAAAAATTTTGAAAAGGAAAGGACTATTGTCACTTGTAAAGCATAGCACCATACTCTGGTTACAGCTACTATATCAGAAAACTCACCTGCTTAAAGTAACCCAAAGATATGTAGCCCCATACATCTCTATCAAAGTCAATTAAAATATTATTGAACTGGATGAGCGAATGGAAAAGCTTTGCCATGTAGTCGTGAGTTTCAATCTGTTAACCAAGTGGAGCAATACACGAAGTTACCATCTCATTAATAAGTTGGCATGATCAGATGATCATGAAATGATAGTTCCACTTAGCTTTTTTGTAAGTGCTCAAGATATAACAATCAGAATATACGGGAAGAACTAACCAAAAATATAGCATGATCTTCATTAAGCCCGAATACTCCAAAAATAAAAAACTATCAGTGTTATACCCATGTTAGATACGATACCCCTTGGATACTTTCAGATATGTATCTGAAAAGTATCCAATCTTTTTATTTATTTATTTTTAATCTTTTATTCTTGGATACTTATTAGATACTTTTATAGATGTATCTGAAAAGTATCCAAAAAAACACTTGTCTTAAGCTTTTTTATAGTCATGTTTTTTGACATGCTATGAAAGAAATTGGAGTACATACTCTATTCATTCTTTGAAGAAAAACAAAATGGATCCAAAAGGATAAAAAATTTGGTTTATGTGCATTTCAACCTTCAACTTTTGTTTGAGTGATGAAGGGTATAAAAAAGGAGAGACTAGGTTGTGAGACATTAGTAAAGGTATACACCATCCACTTGATGATGGTGCTACACTTGAATTGAAAGAGTTCTCTCTTAATGAACCAAACTTAGAAACTATGTTTTTATCCAGATGATGGTATAAAGGGACAAGAGAGTGATACAATTAACATTAGACGGTAATTTAGTAATGATGTTTTTGAGTCATAAACTATTGTATAGAACCAACATTAGCTTTAAATGACATGTATTTATTTTATGGTACACGTTAGAAAATGTATTAAAATCCCTCAATCTTTGAGGTACAGTAGCAACTCCCTTATTAATATAGTTAACTTAATATGTGCAAAAACTGTATTCTTTGTTGTTATGATTACAAATATCTTTTTTGTAAATTATAATCATCATAGTTATGAATTAATAAGAAAAAATTAATGTCTCTTTCTTTACCAATATTCTACATCTACATAAATTTTTCTATAAAATTTTATTAACATATCCAAAATGTATCATTTCCTAATCATACCTATTTCATACTACGTATATGGGCTTCATAGTTAAGAACCAACGAAAATTTAAAAAAAAAAATGCATATGTACAGACCAATAGAGATAGCAAGCTCTAAAAAATTTAAATAGCTGCTGACGTCTCAAGATTCAGTTTTTTTAAAAAAGAAATAAATTGCATAAAGATGTGTTAATCTTGAACAGAACAATAAAACAATAAAAAAAAAGGGTAAAAGCATACCTGAGCAACGTAAGGATTAAAACTTAATCCAAGTGATTGTACAAACTGTTCTGCAATGTGAGGCCAGTTAACATCTGGATATGCAACAACATGTGCATTGTAATTTCCAACCGCACCAGCAAATTTCCCCAATATATCAACCTGAGACAGATCCTTCCTTTCTCTGCTTAATCTTACAGCAAATATCGCCATTTCCTTTCCCAAAGTAGTCGGCGAAGCTGGCTGGTGAATTGTGCAGAAAAAATTGCAAGGATATTTAACAATGAACTAACAACTATTAAAGTGAAAGAACAATAATGCTAATGAAATGCAAAAGTGTATAAACTTTTCATACAGGCAGGAATTCAAAAGCTACAAAACCGATTGTTTGACACTTCAAAGTTAAAGTACTTGCAATAGCCCAATTTTACAGCCCACAATAACACACCGATTCTTAAATTTTCAACAAATGCATAAATGAACATACCTGTCCATGAGTGCGAGAAAGCATTGAAATATGCGCATTATCTTTAGCCATGTCACACAGAGCCTTGATTATTTTATCCATGACAGGAAACATGACAGAATCCATTGTTTCCTTCAGCATCAAGGCATGTGCAAGATTATTTATGTCCTCAGATGTGCAAGCAAAGTGGAAAAACTCAAGCACCTGCAAAAACGTTTTAGAATAACAGAATCCATCGAAATTCATAATCAAAACAGAAAGAGTGCACAACTCACAGCACAAAGAAACACACACACAAAGTAAATCTCAACCTTAGCCACTTCAGCATTGGATTGGCATTTCTGTTTCAAGAAGTACTCCACCGCTTTCACATCATGATTAGTGACCCTCTCAATTTTTTTAACCTCCAAGGCATCCTCAACACTGAAGTCATCAATAAGGCCTTGTAAGAAAGATTTAGCACCTTCACTGAAGCTGGGAACCTCAACAATTTCAGGAATCTGGGACAGCTGCAGCAGCCATTTTATCTAACAGGAAGCACACATATACAACATTAGAGAGCAACAACACCCACATGGAAACGTTCAAAACAGAAAACAAAAAAGGGTTCTTTAATCAAAAGGGTCTCATAAAATAATGGAATGAGCAAAAGGGTACCTCAACAAAAACCCGAAAGTAGATTAAACCATATTCACTCAAAAAAGGAGCCAATTCCTTAACTTTGCCCCAATAACGACCATCCAATGGAGACAAAGCCGTCAAAGCAGAGAGCTCAAAATCAGCGGAATGGGGTCCAAACATGTTGTGAGTAGAAGTGGGTGTGTGGGTGCTGAGAACGGCTTTGCAGGAACAACCTCTGAGAGAGGAAGAAGGGAAAGAAGCATACCGAAAAGGAAGAGGGTGTTGCGTTGAACTTTGAAGGTTGGCTCTGAAGGGGTTGAGGCTCCCAAGTTGTGTAGCGTTAGAGAGTGCCGCGAAATCCATGAAAGGCTTTGGAAGAAGAAACGCACGAACCCTTTCACGCAGTCACACTCTGTTTTTCTTCTAGTAAATAAAACACATACAGGAAGTGGAACCAAACATGGCTACAAGGTTCTGTTTAGGACCATCGTTAACAAATTAAATTATTAATTAATATTCATTTATTTAATATAATATGCATACATAATACATTGCTTAAATTGATTAAGTGGATCTTTTTTTGGTTGGGTGAGAGAAGCTAACATGATTAAGTAGATTTAAAACATTTAAAATCCACCCCCGTATATATTAAATTATATTAGAATATATATCTTAAAACAGAATATTTTTAAGTCTCGTATTTTGACACGGCGTTTTTTCTAAATTAAAAAAATAAGCAAACAAGGTAATAAATCCAATCGAGCTGTTCCCCGCAATTATATTTTATTACTTTAATTTATTTTATCCTTTTATTCTTAACCAGTCTTATTAAAAAACAAAGCTAAGCTGACCCTTCCAATTTCCAAAGTTTGAAAAATAAAAAAGATTAGAACCAAATGATCCTTTAAGGCTAAATTCATAGTCAGAACTAGACCTACATGTAAGGCCCAAATTCTACTTACCCTCGCTGATGTTTATTCTGTGAAGATGAATAACAATGGACAATGGTCATGGGCATAGACACTGGTGGGCTAAAAGCATGGAAACTGGGCTCCTCCGAATTTCGTATGGTTGTGTTTTTATTGACCAAGATTGGCGTTGATTCGTCAAATTGGCACTTTTTTTTTTCTTCTTCTAAATTTATATAACTTTTTAAAAACAACACCGATTTTTTTGTTGTCGCCAAAAATACTGAGTTAATTAGACTCAATAGTTTTTAACACAGTTTTTTTAATTTTATTAAATACATCTCGATTAATTAATAATATACTTATTTTATTTTTCTAAATACGCTTTTTCAAACATATTTTTTGGTAAAGAAAAAAATTCTTTCAAAAATTACTTTTCATGAAAAAAAATATACATTCGAGAAGTACCTTTTAAAAAAGAAACAAACTTACTCTTTTGGTAAGTATTTTATGGAAATATATTTCTTTGACTATCAAAAAATACTTTTTGAAAGGAAAAAAATAAATAAACTTTTGTAGACAAAAATATGCTTTCACAAAAAAGTTTTCAATTTTTTTTTCTTTGAAAAAATCCTAAATCTTAAAAATATATTTTTAGGATGTTTTATTTCTTTTGTTTTTTATGATTGATTTGATCAATTTATCTCATTCGATCGAGTTAGGTTAATTAATGTATATTTGTTTATTTATTTTACTTTTAACTTGTGTGTTCAATCAGTTCATCTCAACTAAGTCATTGAACAAATCAATTCACTTTTTTTATTTATTTATATGAAGTGTGTGTTAAATTAGTCTCTCTCTCTTTTTAACTTTTAACTTGTGAGTTCATCTCAATCCAAGTTACTGGACAGATAAATATTTTACTTTTTTATTTATATAGAGTTTGCGTGAAAAAATATGTAAGTCTTTCAACTTCGAGGTTTTTATCTTCATTGCTAATTATCACTGACACCATTTAACATAAATAATTTGACATGTAAACTATTTCATGTTAGTCTAATAGTGAGATAACATGTGGCACATATAGTGAAACATGACATTACTTAACTATTGGTGAGAACATTAACCATGCTAGTGATAAAATATAACAATTAACGATATGGATTGAAAATAGTGGTAATTTTCCAAGTGTCTAAACAATATTTTTTTATTAGGATGAAAATCAGTTGTCTACAATTTGGTGTACAAATATATTTAATTTCCTAATGGTGGAAACATCTAAGTTTGGCATTGGAGTTACCAGTCCAGAAATGAAAGCACCAGAACTGCTTTTGTCTTTTTTTTCAATTTAACATGACAGATTTTGCCTTGAATCTCCCGATTACTTAGCGAGATAGATGTTGCATTCATATATTATAAAGTATTTTGCTGTAGAAAGCTAGAGCTCGAGCTTATCCACTTAACTTTCAACCAAGCATGTGTGGGCTCCACGTAATTATATATATATATATATATATATATCTATATATATATATATATATATAGATCT